AGGCAGATAACTAGAGGCCAAGTCAGTCTGGATCGTTCCACCCTGGCTTTGCTAAGAGCATTCAATTAAACACCAGAGATAAGATACCAGCTAATGAGATGAAACACATTCGGATAATTTAATAAGGCCTAAAGGACAGATATATAATTAATACAAAACACATCAAAAAAGGTCGTGTCGAGCCAACCTCGTCTCATTCTTTGAGACCACAACTTTAATTGGGAAAACTGTATGGACAGAACAGATTGAGTTTCATATCAAGGCAGGAGGACTAATCTGTCACTTCAATCCAGAGAGAGATGTTATTTCTACTCCTGTCAGCGGGGAGCCAAACCCTGAAACACTTTTGTCTGTGTTATTAGTTTGTGATGTTCAAAACCTGAGTGATAAAGCTCCTGGGAAAATGGTCTGTAATGACAGTCCAAGGCTTTGATCTTTTTCTGATCTGAAAGAGAAGTGCTCTTGTGCAAACATAACAGTCATGTCCACAGGGAGGGGGGAAAAAAAAGTTAAAAAAATAGTAATCAAGCATCCCATAACCCATGGCTCTCATGTAGCTGAGCAAGTGACTGACCTCTCATACCTGGAATTTCAAAACAAGCCACTAAATACACACTTTTAACCAGTGAGAATGACCAAACCCTTGAGCAAATCACCAGGTTTCTGCACTGTGAGGGAGGTGAGATGCTGGCACAGGCTGTCCAGAGAAGTTGTGGAAGACCTGTTCCTGGAAGAGTTCAAGGCCAGGCTGGATATGGCCTTTGAGCAACCTGCTCTAGCTGAAGATGGCCCAGCCCATGGCAGGGGAGATGGAACTAGATGAACCCTTCCAACCCAAACCATTCCATGACTCTAAGTGAGAGTCTCTGTCTTCTGAGCCTGAAAAGCAAGAGCAGATGGCCTGAAATACCATCTTCAGCCAGGAACTGATTATCTGGCTCAGTGCTAAGTCATGAGAAACTGAACTGTGATCAGAAGAGATCCAGGTCTCCACTACCTACACCTAGTAGGACCTAGTTGAAGCTGCACATGCTCACCCTAAATGGAATTGTTAGTGTTTGGCTCATTGCAATTCCCTTTCAAGCCCCAGCACACTGTTCATCCTCTGTCACATCCTTCCTTTCTCCTCAGGGCTCCCAGCTTTTACCATTCCTGACTCCTCTGTGCACTTCCAGATCCAGACAAAACAGCTTTAGCTCCTGATGGAGTTTCTCCAGCTGACCTCATCTCTCCCTCGCCCACCCAGTTCTCACTGTACTCTGGCAATGTCCCACCACCCTCACTGGTGCAGAAGCCTCTTCCTCTGTACATCTTGGCACTTGGAACAACCTTCCTGCATCTCTGCATCGTTGACTCCATCTCTTTTCAAATGTCATCAGAAAACGCTTCTTTGTTTGTGTCTCAATTTTGGAAGGAGAAATTAACTGAACTCATTAAAACGTATTCAGCATTCTGGGCTACAGTTTGCATAAAAGACCACACAAAATGAATTTTCCAAGGATGTCCATGGGATCTGTGAAGATACACAGCTCTTGGAAAGGGCAGCACTTCCTCTGTGCTTTATTAATGATATTTTCCCCAAGAGCATGAAGTATGGAGGGTCCATCTAGCCTAACAGATTTCAGCAGAGTTACAACATTGCTGCTTCTTGGGGTTATGAATTCATGCTGTGGGACTCAGGGAACAACCCAACCAATTTGTAGGGTTAGTTTTACATGTTCATTGGCAAATGCTGCCAATCAGGTCTCGTCATTTGAAAAGACTTGAGATTTTCATCTGATGTTAGATCTCTCAAGCTCCATTAAAATGAGAGAAAAGAGGGGTTTCAAGAGGCTGATATGCTGCTCACCTTCCACGCTGCCTGTGCTGAACTCAAGGGAAGTTCCTCCTTTGGCAACAGCAGGAGTGGGACACAGCTTTCAGCTGAAGCTGATTTCAGCTCCACATTCCTACTTCACTAGTGAAAAACCTCCACTTTGTTTTTCACTAGCACTAGTTTGAGTGCTTCAAGTCCTCTCCTGGAGATGTGCTTTTCCCAAGTGTTAAGCTGGTTTTAGTGTTCATTCTAGCTGCTCCTATGGCAAGATGCAGAGCTAACAGCACCCTTTTTCTTAAATCAAGCATGTTCAGTAATTGTATTAACCCCAAATCACACAGAGCTGATCCAAGTTGGCCTTGAAGGTCATTTGGATTTGGCTTTGGAAGAGGAAGCCCTGGAGAGAAAAAAGTCTGACCTAGGATCTCTGCACTGGCACAGGATCTTGCCTCGTGTTGCATTAAAAGAGGTGAGATTTCAGCTACCACTGAACTTCCAGCCCCCCTGACTGACAGGCTCAGCTTGCTCCTCTCAGGAGCACTGCTCAGCAGCAGCTACAGCTCCTCATCCATGGCTGCGTTTCAAGGTTTGGGTGTTTTCCCTTCTTTTGAACCTGAAGACCACAACCTTGTCTACCGGCAGACTAATTTCAACAAACCAACAAGGCCCCAGGATGACCCCAAGAGGGGCAGCAGCAGCAGTGGGCACACTGGGGCGTGAGGGAGGCCCCGCGGGGCGAGCCAGCGGTGCCAGCAGGACCCTGTGGGCAGTCAGGAGCACAGCAATGCCAGCAGGACCCTGTGGGCAGTCAGGAGCAGAGCAATGCCACGGAGAGCACGAGGATACTCACAGCTCGGCCTCTTGGGTGGCGAGGTGGCCGTGCTCTTGGCAGCAGTGGCAGTGGTGCCAGCTGGTGCTGCCCGTGGGGCCACGGGGCTGCTCCTGGCAGCGGGCCGGGCAGCG